TCCATCAATGGCATTGTTGTCATTGTCATCATCATATCATCATCGTCATCATCATCATCGTTAACATCGTCGTCATCACCGTCCATCAACATTACCATCCATACCATCATCATCATCGTCATCAACACCCATCACCATCCATCAACGTCACCATGACATCATTGTCATCAACATCCATCACTATCCATCAACGTCACCATCCACACCATCATCACCATTGTCATTGCTGACATCATCGTCATCAATACCCATCACCATCCATCAACATCACCATGACATCATCGTCATCAATACCCATCACCATCCATCAACATCACCATCTGCACCATTGTCGTCATTGTCATTACTGACATCATCGTCATCAACATCCATCACCATCCATCAATGGCATTGTTGTCATTGTCATCATCAATATCATCATCATCATCAACATCCATCACCACCCACATCATCATCGTCATTGTCATCATCGACGTCATCATCAACATCCATCAACATCATCCACATAATCACCACCCATCGCCATCCCAGCGCCTTCCTGCAGCGCAGCATGGAGGGGACACCTGAGAGGTCCTCGTCATGGTCAGCGTTGTCACTGTCATCGCCAACATTGTCATCAACAACATCACCGATGTTATCAACGCTGGCATCCTCAACATCGACATCATCATCGTTGACATCACCATCGGTCCCATCATCTCAGCAGCAGCAGCACCAACATTGTCAAATCATCAGTCATCGACACCCATCAACATGGCTATCACCATCATCATCAATAGCCAGCAACATCATCATCATCACCAACATCGTTGTCAATATCCTCATCAACATCAATCAACATTGTCATCATTGTCATCATCCATCACCATCATCACCAACACTGTCATCATCCACATTGTCAACATCCATCAATATCACCAGTCATCAGCATCCACCATGATAATCAATGTCATCAATGTCCAACCGTCGTCATCATCAATATCCATCCACCAACACTGTTATTGTCAGCTCCACATCATCAACATCCATCACCATCATCAACTCCACCACCAACATTGTCAAAATCATCAGCAGCCATCAATGTTATCACCATTGTCATCATCCATCAGTGTCATCACAGTCCTCACCACCCATCATCACCACCACCCATCTCCATCCCAGCATGTCCCGTAGTGCAGCACCAACGGCACACCTGGGACACCATCGGCATTGTCACCACCACCATCGTCATCATCACAGACGCCACCATTGTTTGTCATCTCCATCATCATCCCAACCATCACCATCATCACGGTCAAAACCTCTATCATCCATGTCACCACTGTGGCCATCGTCACCATCAGCACCATCTCCTGGCCAGCATCATCGCCACCATAAACAGCACCATCTCCACAACCGTCAGCATGAACAGCAGCAGCGTCATCTCCATGGCCACCGCCACCATCCTCATCATCATTACCACCATTTCCACCACCACCACCATCATCACCACCAGCATCATCATCACAACCACAAATGTCATCACCGTGGCCACCATCGCCACCGCATCGCAGCCATCACCATCACGGCCGTCACCCCCTCTCACCGTCCCAGCGCTCGTTGGCCACACGCAGCACGGCGGTGGCGAAGGTGGGCGTGGTGGAGCCTGGGGGCACCGTGGGGTCGTCCAGGTAGCCCTTCTGTGCCTCGGGGGGACCCTCGGGGTTGCCCACGTACTGGCCCAGCACTACGTCCTGCAGCTCCACCGGGCTGATGCACTTGAGCACCTTCACCTGGGGAACGGGTGAGGGACACCTGGTTATGGGGGCTCCAGTGAGACCACGGGGTGGGACCACTGGGGACGTGCTTATGGGGACCACCACTAAAAACAGGCAGTGGGATGGGGGTGTGGGGGATGTAGCCACTGGGGGACGTGGTTTTGAGGGGTCATCAACAAGAAGGTGCTGAGAGGATGCGGTTTGGGACATGGCTACAGGAGCTCTGGCACTGGGGATGACAGCATGACAGGACATGGTTGGGGACATGGGCAGTGAGAACATGGCCATGGGGAATGTGGTTTTGGGGGGCCACCATCAATAATGGGGTGATGGAACAAAGTTGGGGATGCGGCTACGAGGGACGTGGCTTTGGGGGCCACCATCAAGAACGTGGTGGTGGGACACAACTGGGATGGGGGAATGTGGCCATAAGGGGACACAACCCTGAGGCCATCTGAGGATGGTCCCTACAGCCATGACCACGACGTGCCCACCAGGGACATAAAGTTCAGTGACCGGTGCGGTGTCGGGGGGCGGTGACGCTTTGGTGACACCCCGGTGTCCCTGCCGTCCCCACCTTCTCGTCACGGACATCGTCGGGGTTGGTGGATGCCGGCTTCTCCATGGCCACCAGGCAGAGCAGCTGCAGAAGGTGGTTCTGCATCACGTCCCTGTGGGGAGCCGGCGCTGCCACGGGGGTTGGGGGACATGGGAGGACAAGGAGAGGCCACGGGGACGCCGGGGCACGTCCGTCCTCACCGGATGATGCCGAAGTCGTCGAAGTAGCCACCGCGGCCCTCGGTGCCGAAGGGCTCCTTGAAGGTGAGCACCACGCAGGCGACGTTGTCGCGGTTCCAGATGGGCCCGAAGATGCGGTTGCCGAAGCTGGGGTGGGCGAGGGGTGGGTGAGGCCGTGTCCCCTGTCCCCCGCCGTGTCCCCTGTCCCCTGCCGTGTCCCCTGTCCCCCGCCGTGTCCCCAGCTCACCGCAGCACCATCAGGCTCTGCACCATCTCCTTGCCCAGGTAGTGGTCCATGCGGTAGATCTGCTCCTCGCGGAACAGCGCGCTCAGGTGCGCCGACAGCTCCTCCGACGAGCCCAGGTCCCGCCCAAAGGGCTTCTCCACGATCACGCGGTTCCACCTGGGGACGGGGGGACACGGGGGGACACGAGAGACGTGGACGTGGGGGGACATGCACAGACACAGAGGACACGGGACATACGGGGACACGAGGAACACGGAGGGACGTGGGGACACGTGGGATGTAAGGAATGTAGGGATGGGGGGACATGAGGACACGGGACACACGGGCACACGGGCGGACATGGGGACAAGATGGGGACACGATGGCACACGGGGATGCAGAAGATGTGGAGATACATGAGAGCACAAGGAACATGGGAACACATGGGGACATACAAGTGACATGGGATACAGGGGACATGGG